GGCGTTCTCACAATGATCCAACGCGAAAATTCGGCAAAACATAGCGAAATCAGGGCCCCCTACCCCCCCGGCCACCATTGCCTCAGAATTTTGGGCTCACTTGCGAAATTGATCCTTCTATAGGTAAAAATGATATCCTGAAAGTTTTATGCTTTCTTCCAGAAATGCACGATTGTTATGCTTATCCGCCCTACTATTGGCATGAAGAAACTAATAGCACATACGTTGTTTCTGAATTGAGGTAGAAAGAATTGTTCCTAATCGCTAAATGTAGTCCTCTTCAAATGGATACCTAAGTAAAATTTTAAACTCTTTGTCTCAGTAAAACCTAGAAACTCACATGGTTAGTGTTTTAAATCTCAAACTAGTCCAGTCAATCTAGCTTTTTACGTCCAACAAATTAGCACAAACTTTTCCTTTGATTTAAAAGATTTCTGAGTAACCAATAAGATAGAAAAAAAAGATTACCGACAAATTTAATTCGGAAAGTGGTCAAATCGCAGTTTTTCAAAATGGTGGCCTTAAGCGATTTTCAAGAAAGACCTACATACAGTTTTTCCTTCGTAACTCAAAAAGTATGCCTCCAGCAAAATAATCATTAGATATCAAATTTACAGATACATAACGTTTCGGTTAAGAACCATATTCAAACTTTAGACTTTTGTTATTTTTTTCCTTCCACATTTTACCATTTAAAAATAATAACCGGCAAAATTGCATGAAAATCAGCGATTTTTCGCGTATTTGACAAATTTTAGGTCAAAATAATTGATATAAGGTTCAATACTACGACGCCATTGAAAAGTACGTTAAATTTTACTGAAGAATACCTATCCACTTCACCTTTTTATCTTCTATGACCTCCTTGTGAGACGAATCATTCGAAAGCATGAAGTCAATATTTAACATATTTATAATAACAATATTTATTTCTATAGAAATTTCAGAATTTCAACGATTTTCGGCTTTTTGACACTTGGAAACTGAAAATACGATTAAGTGATGGCAATAAACATTTTTAGAGCATAAAATTTTCAAAATATTTCTTACCTGAAATTGATATTTCGAACTTTTTAAAGAGGGTTAAATATGGAGCTAAAGTTGTCAATTGGATAACCTGGCTGATCGGTTTAGAACCGCTTTCTTGACGTATACTCAAAGTTTTCACGTTTATTAATTTTTGTTTGAAGTAAATTTTTTGGTACCAGTGTAATAGCACATGAAAGTTAAAAAAATTTTGATAAATAAATTTTTGAAAGTATGTAAGTGTACTTAAAAGCCAATTTTTGAGACGTCAAAAATTTACAAACTTTTCAATAACAAGGCTTTGTCTCAGGTGTATGTGGTTCTTGGCGGCTGCAAACAATTTTTTTCATTAAACCATGTTAATCATCCAAAAGCTGGTAAAATCTTATGGGAGAAATGTACCTTTATTTGTCTTTCTGGTGTTGCTCGTGAAAATGCGGAGGCAATGTTGGGAAAAACCGCAATTTGCCCTAAAAAAAATTTCCGCGGTTTTTCTTATTTCTTATGCGTTAAAAGGCGTTTCATTAAAAATACAAGATGCGCAATGAAAAGTTCATGAGAGTTCCTCTAAAGTAGGGTCATTAAAGTTTGCCGTAAAATTGTTAGGAGGGGTCGTAACACTGAATTTTGTTTTTAAAAAAATAAAAAAAATTTGATAAAATTTAACTTTTTTGGTATTTTTGAGATATTATCGCTTGTAGATGAGCTTCAAAGTTAAAATGAATGGTGTATCCGAAAAGTACGTTAAATTTTGGTCTATTGACGTGTGTTTAACATCCCTTTATGAAATTATATCCCCCGGTAGGAACACTGCCTCTGGGATCAAAAATGACACTTTTCTGAAAGAAATCCGCTTTTAACTCTGCTTTCCTAATTTTTTAAGCATTTTAGAAGTGCCTGATCAAAAAAACACTGTAACTACGTGAAAGTACAAAAAATCTAAAATAAGAGAAGGTACGGTGTCTTAAAAATTTCGACCATTTTTGAGTTCGACCCGGCTTTACATAAAATTCTAAAAAATGGTATTATTTACAGAGAGGTGAGTTTCTATGCAAAACATCATCTCTCAAATAGCCATACCAATGCAGCAAACATTCCATCAATCGTGTGAAGATATTTAGATCATTTACGGAGGGAAAAAATCCATTAAAGTAAAATAAATTATAGGAGGGGAAACTGACCTCCCCCCCTCCCTGCTATGTACAAAGAGCGCAAATGGATAGGACTGCAATCTGGAACTAACAGCTACTTCACGTATACAAAATGAAAACAATTTTTATCATATTTATGCATACACTCACGTAAAAATAAACTAATAGGACAAACATCGGCAAAATCTGTACATTTAAGGGTATTTAAAAATATTGCGGAATGGAAAATAACATTTATTAGGGTAGTTATGATGCAAGCCCAGTTGCCGGCGCGAAGCACTTTATGTGAGGAATTGGGCAGTGTAAAGGCAGCAGCTCGGGCAGCGGGTCTTTTGGCGTTTGAGGAATTGACAGTAAAACTAATAATCAAGATAAATTCAACACAACATTGAAGGTTTGGAACTTTTGGGCCGCTAACTCTAGCATAAGCGCCAACAAGGATGAAATCGAAAGTACAGATGTCAACCGGGGGAAGGGTTTTCAACATGGGAGAGGGGTATACACCTATGCTTTAAGTGATGCAACACACGCTCATGTGAAATTAGAAAATCCAAGTATATAAGAAGGAAAATAATCAAAACATTAACCTTTTACTGCCCTCGGCATTTTGTCACCCGAATATGCGACAATTCATACATTATTCAATTTTATTTAGCTTTTAATAAACCATGTTGACTCATCAGCTGTTATATTCCCAACCTAGTATTATTAAACTCGTATTTGAATGGAGAATGGAGTCGATGTCCCTTCCTTTGATTTCGTATTCCACAGACGGAATAAAAAATTAGTAGATATTTTATTTCATTACTCAGCTTTGTATTCCTTTATTTTTGTCAATTAAATATTTGACATTACTAAAAAAATTGCATTTTCACACTTATACCAATACGTAATACATCAATTAAGGAGCTTGGTGGACAAGGCGCATAAGTACAGTTTTTGCCATTTCGAGAAAAACGTGTTTAAAGTTTTTAAATTTTGAAGCTTCATGGCATAAAGAAAGTTCAAACTCACATTTTGATGCTTAAACATTGGATTTTACCTGCGAATTTTTCACAGACTTAATTTCAAACCTAGATTCAGTTGAAATCACTATTGTGTCAATTTTTTCGAAAACTGTACTTATGCGCCTTGTCCTCAAAGCCCCTCAATAACTTTTTTACCCTTTCTTATTACCTTATGAGTTTTCAAACTGAAACCGACAAGCTTTGGTCAAAATACCGAGGTCATGAAAATCAGTGGATGAACGGGTATTCTAAAAATTAAAGCCTATCTGTTCCACCATTTTGAATTTGGATTTCGACTAAAATTAAAATCAAATTCAAAACCAGGTCACAATACTAGGGTGCACCGAGTTTCATGAAAATCTGCCAATAAATAAGTAGTTTACAAATTATGGCCGCCATCTTTAATTTTTAAAAATTATGGCCACCACCTTTTTTCCATCATCTTTGATTTCAATTTTGGTTAAAATCGACATCAAATTAAAATTCTCTGGGTCATAATTCAGAGTTATACTAAGTTTCATGCAAATCAGTCGATAAGCAGATTAGTAACTAATTATTGCCGCCATCTTTTTTCCGCCATCTTGAATTCTGATTCAGACTGGAAGTAACGTCAAATTCCACTTTCCCAGTACACCTGGATACACTGAGTTTCATGAAAATCTGCCCATAAACAGGTATTTTAAAAAGAAAGTTTGTATAATTTTTAGCTGCTATAATTTAGGTAAACGGTGTAAAATACTTGACACCCCCCCCCTCACCGACCGGCCATCCGTCTAAGGTACTCCTTCCTTTACTATGCACCATTGCTATCATCAATAAATACTAAATTTGTTTTAAAAAATTATCGGAAATCCGTTAAACATCAGGAGCGTAAACGAAATCCTAGCCAAAATTGACAAAAAATCACAATTGTCTGACACCATTCCAGGCCCCATAAAGTTCTCATACCTTCAGTTAAATTTTGGTGCAATATGTGTCGTGTTTTGAAAAGAACAGACCAAACTTGAAATTTCAAGAAAATTTTAGCCTTGTTTCTGTTTCTATTCTTGTAGCTGGGCACCACTAATAAATATTTGAAAGCAGAAATTTATGCTCTAAAAAATTAACGAGAATGGTTTTTTTCATTGAATACACTACAATTACGCAAATTGGGGATAACACTGACGAAGTCAACACTCAATTTTTATGTAATTTCCATAGAGCACATAGAGTCGTAATGCAAGTGGGAGAGCTGGCACCACTTTAACGCATTTTCCAGGTCCTGAATTCCGAGATTCCTGTGCGGCGCGGGGTCCCTTTTTCGATACATAATCGATTGTTTGCGATACACGGGGACCCGGCCATATTCCACACCGCCATTTTGGATCGAATATGTATCGAAAAAGTGACCCCGCACACCAGACTCTGAACTCGTTGAGCAGAACATGGCGCCAGCTCTCCCACTTACATTACGACTCTATGTACAAAATGGTAATTTCACGCAGCTTGACTGTATTTCTTGTATGCAATAGACCTCCTAGTGTCCTCTTGATTGAATTATTCATATATTTTATGGAATCACTGGCAAGTGTTATCTACTGATGAGGTCTAAAAAGACCCAAAACATTGTAGATCCCTCGGCGTGACCTCAACTTAATATTCTAATGGAAGCTGCCTGAGCTAAACACTCTCCCCCCGGTCTTGTACTGGTACTCTTTAGAGCTCAATTCTTTTACTTCATTTGAACATTTTGGCTTTGTTTTCCCCACAAAATGGTGTGGACCCAGCATTTTTTTACCACCTTGTTTATATATTTTCTTTTGTTCCATCCATTCAGAAAGTTTTGGAAGAAATCGTAAATGCTGACAGTGGCGCTCCATGTTCCCCACGGCACAGCAAAAAGAAACATTTTATTGATTCTTTGAAGAAAGCAATAAGTCCACAGACATCAAGCAAACAATTGACAGAAGCAGCAGCTGTGGCTGGTGTGAAGCTTTGCAAAGCTTCAACTTACATTAATATTTTAGAGTCAAATCACATTATTTTTACTCTCGTTCAAAGTATTTTAAATGATCTCAAAGTAAGTTGTTCTCTCTATATTGTATTTTTTAAAATTTTGAAATGTTTTTTTCATGTTTAGGTTTCATTTGCATCCCTCAGTGCATAATGTGAACAAATAATAGAACTTGCATCACTTAAGTAGGCAGTTGTTAATTTAACACTGCCACCGTTCAATAAAACGTCAGGATTGATCAAGATCAATGACTTTACTTTTTATCTTGGTACATAAATTGGTAATCCACTCCTAACGTCAAAAGCAATCAACTACCAATTTATCAAATGCAAGTTCTGTCTTGTTGCATCTAATGTGATGGGTTCTTCTTTTTTGCCTTGAGTTTGGACTATTTTGGCTTTTTTTTTTCTCTTGGCAGCCTTGCATAAATTTATGACTAGCACTCAAGTGTGTTTTCAAAGATTAGAAAAAATTAAAATTGAGTGTTGATCCTGGGGGGGGGGGGGGGGGAGGAAGGGAGAGAGAAAAAGAAAAACTTATCATCAAGACATGTATGTTTACTGAGTCAAATCGCGAGTACTGTCATTTTATGATATATTTTATTTCTTTGTGGATTCAGCAGGGCTTTCACTTTTTTCTCTTTTTTTAAAATCAAATTTGGTGTCAGGCAAAGTGTCCCAAAAGTTGGCCCAGTCTTTATGTAATTGATTGACCAAAAATCCAAAGTCTCTAAAGGTTTGCATATCGTTCCCAAAGAGTGTTTCAAATAGCCAGCCACTTTTATCTTCAAAGATTTTGACTAATCTAATGAGTAACCAAAATTTATTTGATTTTCAGTGTTTATTGTTCAACCCAAACAAACCGTTCACGAGAGGACAGAGTTTTGTGCAGCAAGATGTGGATCTCATGATTGACTGTTTTGTCTCGTGCTTCCGAATAAAACCTCATAATAATGATCCGTTAAAAGTGTGTCTAAATCCAGTGTCCCCATCGATGTTTCATTTTGTTCTAGTCAGTTCTTTGTACAGGTATATCCACTGGCTTTTACTCAGCCAAATTCATGATTCAAAGATTCATTTGTATGTAAGAGCTAATAAATGCAAGCAATTTGAAAGTTGCAAAATTTGTGATCTTCATTTGTAGGTTAAGGTTTACAAAAGAATTTTTGAGTTTTATTTCAATTATTGTAACAGTCCATGCATCCCTCTTTGATTTCCCGCCTGTCAATGAAGCAGTGCCTTTAGGGATGGGAATGGAAGTTAAGTCGTTCTTGAGTGAAATTGAGCTGAGGCATGCGAGTCATTTCATGTGAAAATGTAACCCCTCCTCTTGCACTCATTTTAGGCGTATTTTTCGCTTTTTTGTAACGTAATGTAACTTGAAGTTTGCGAACTGATGGCTGGCCACCAGACCACTTTTTTCCTACAAAACAAGACTTAACCTCCTCTTTTCTCCTTTTCTGGGTGTCGCTTGAGGGCTTAATTAAGACAGCCTCCAAGGCCTGTGCCAAAAAATTTTTTTCTGTTGTGTTCTTTTTATGTTGTCAGCCCCTCCCTCCCCCCTTCCCATTGAGCCCTTACATTATATTGTTTTTTAATTTATTTTCTGAACAATTTATGATGTCTTGATGGCTCAATACAGAGTTATCCAAGAGTCACCTACCACCCCTGTAACTTTTTTCCTAATCGAGATAGAAGTTTGTAATTTTGGTGATCTTCCTAGGTCCAAAGTAGCAACTTTTTGGTAACTCACTCTCAACTCAAGTAGCAACCAAAATCTGTGGGGGCAGGGCTCATCTTTTTTTCGAATGGACCCCCCCCCCTTTGTGATACCTCATTCGACAAATGATCAAAAAAGACAATTTTTGACCTTAAGCGCAGGTCAAAATGTTCATTTTTGACAAATTGGCGGCCGGTCAAAGTTCAAAATGGCGGAAAGGGGTACGTGCAAAACGGGCCTTTCGGGGCTCGGGGCAGTTACCTTTGAGACTTGCCCTATTCATTTACCAAACAATGCCCCATCTTCTCCCAAAGTTTCAAGCCCCCCTAAAATTTTGGGGTGACGCAGTGGGGGGGTCGAAGTTAATAATCAGCCACATTTACGCGAATTTGTTACTCGAAAACCGAGAAGTTTTTAAACGAGCGTTTCTAGCGTGACAAGAGCTTCCAGAAAATGTATAACATCACAGGGTTTAGCCGACTTCACCCTCCAAAGCGACGGAACGCTAAAAGAAGACCCCATTTTTTTCACGTCCGCGCCGATTTTTATAAAAGCCATTTTTTTATTTTGATGAAAAACTGATACGTTGTTCCTGACTCTCTGTAGCCCCTCTAGCTTTTTACTGCACGCTGGGAAAATGTTTTGGTCGCGAGTTAGAAGAGCGGAAAGGAGCGAAGGTCGGGAAAATCGGCTATTGTAAACTTCGCGCGCGGTGCTGATCGGAAGGAAAACGTCCCCTCGTCTTTCGTCTAATTCTTCAAAGTCTGAAAAACTGCAACATGGCGGCGGAAAAATGGCGGGAAATTGGTATTACCGACGTTTACTCAAAGATTCACATGAAACTTGGCGGCCATGGCAAAAGGAGTCAGCATCACTTAAATTCAATGCAGAAGAGTAATTTTTTTTGAGCCATAGACATGAAGGACACCGAGTTTCATGCGAATCCATCAGTAAACATCTGTAACAGCAAGTTCCCGCTATTTTTCCGCCGCCAAGTTGAAGTTTTTCAGAATTGTAAGAATCCGATGAAAGATTCGTTTTTCTCGTGTCGTAGTACTCTCGGATATCAAATTTCATGCAAATCTACGGATAAGCAGCATAAATATCCACTTCTCGCTATAAGTTGCCATTTTGAGAAGGACTAAATTTCTCAAAAAACTATTGCAAGATTCGTTTTGCTCGACCCAAAAAACCGCTGAGTATCAAGTTTCATCCCAATCCGTCGTCAAAAACGCACATGTCAAATTTCCGCCATTTTTAACTTTGACCAGCCGCCACTCCGTCAAAAATGAACATTTTGACCTGCAGTCTACTTAAAAAATTTTTACTTGTTATTATCTTTCGAATGAGGTATCACAAAGGGTGGGTTGCTATTTGAAAAAAGAAGTTGAGCCCTTTGGTTTCCCCTTTAGGTAGGACCGTCCGTCCCCCAAAATTTTGGGGGACTCAAAATTGCTACTTTAGACCTAGAAACATCCCCAAAGATTCAAACCTATACTTCAATTAAGAAAAAAGTTACAGGGGTGGTAGGTGACTTTTGGATAATCCTGTAGAGTATCAGCATAGCCCCCTGAAACAGCAGAAACAGACAACAATCAGAAAGTCATGATCTTTCAAAGAAAATAATATCCAAAGGTTTTTCATACCTGGTCATAGTTTTTATCGTCAGTTTATCACTTTCTCTTGTGTTCTCTACTCCCAAAAAAATAATTGTGAGTAAAATGTCTTACAATTTTTTTACGTGCCCTTTTTTTGGAGTACCTACCTTTATTTTAATATTAATTAGTTTCTTTATAGCTGCTCATTTATGAGAAAATGAAATTTTTAACTGAGCTTTGCATCATGGTGAAGCAGCGAATCCAATCACTTTTACTCTGACCATTGTTGTTATGTAGCCTCATTTTTCAATTTTCCAGGGTAGTCACTCAACATAGATTACCATGGTGGCCAGTAATCGATTTAGTTTACAATAAAAGTTCCGAGCTACGGGCTATGTTCACAGACACCCTGAATAGAGTTACCCAAGGTTATATAGCTCTTACACCTTTAAAAATGATAACGGTAAGGATTTTGATTCTTAAATTTATTGAGTTCATCCTCTTTTACAAAATGCTAAATCATGAAGACAGAAACAGTTTAACTGTTAAAGCTGGAGCAGACCAATTCCAACAACTGTAGTTGATTCAAACAAGTTAGATGTTAAACAGCACAAAAAGCTTTGCTTTTATTGTTAGTTAATTTTGGTATGTACCATACTTATTAACTACTTTATCTCATCGAAGGCCTTGGTCAAAATCTTTCGAATTTCATTAAAAATGGTCTTATCAAAAATAAATCTCGACAACCAGAACAGGCAGTGACGTCAAAGATTAAAATCGTTTATCCTTCACTCATGAGTCGATTTCAGGAGTTTGCGATACTGTTAACATGTTCTGCATGATATATTTATAGGAAAACATTTGCTGTTGTGCTTAATAACTTACCCTGTCTAGTGGTCCATCGTCCATTGACCCAATAACAAAGTGTTCTGATTCAGAACGTATCTGCTTCTTCTTGTCACTAAATTTAAATCCTGTATAGTAGTTCCTTTTTCTATGTAAAGACTTACATTTTCAGTCTCTAACCCTAAAAAGCAAAGATTCAACTTCAAAACTACGAGACCGAGGGGAAGAAGCTCCTTATCACAAGAATTTATTGTTATGGATGGTGCGACTAATTCATGCTGATCCTATGCTCATGTTGAATGTAAGTACCCATTCTTTTTCACGCATCCTTCTCTGCTAAACATTTTTACTTTCTCCTCTGCTCGCAGGTAGAGGAAGTATTGTCATGGTCCAAAAAAAAAAATGAAATTTCATCATTTCTAGGCATTTTAAGGTGCATAGAGTCAAAGAAACCACACTTGAAAAAACGTATGTCCATCCGTCAGAAGAACTCTTTTTTGGTGTACAGCCATACCTCAAAATCCATCTGTTCAATTTCATTCAAAATTTCCACTGAGGACCGTATTTATGGTCTCCTTATGATTGTCAAGTGATTTTGAAGTGCGCCGAAATTTGGGGGGTTAGGGGCAGAAATGAGTTTTATTCAAATTTTTCTTCGAAACATGGTTTTGTCGATTAAATTAAAATTATTTGCTCATCAACCGCCAACGGGCAATTTCGCTGGCCGCGAAGCGGCCTTCAAAGGCACGCTTCGCGAGCCTTTGTGTGCGCCCCAGGAGTTGGGCTGCATAGCGGCCAGGGAGCCACCTAGTCTTAATTAATAATCATTCGGTGATGGGTTGAATATAAGCAAGTCAGAAGTGCTTTTCGATGTGTACAAGTATGCATTTTTTAAGAAAAAAAAATAACATTGAGTGTGCAAACATTGCTTTCATGAAACATTTTACACAAAAAATGTTGATTATACTCAGTCATGAAGTCATTGCCTCAAAGTCTGGCACTTCCATCCTATCTTCTTTGAAATAGTAACCTCCTACCTGGATGCATTTCTGCCATTGCTGCTTCAATTTGGTAGAACACTTTTGGAACTCCTTGGGTACGATTCCGCAAGTCTCTCAGAATATTCCTCTAACTCTCTCAAATTGACGACCCTTTAGCTTGATTTAAGTCTTAGGAATAGAATTAAGTCTGTAAGTGCAAGGTCAGGTGAGTATGGAAGATGAGGTAGTACTTACATGCCCGATTGTTGACAACTCATGAATTTATTCAATGCATTTGCAAGGGCATTATCATGATGCAAAAACCAAGAATGGGCCTGTTGCAAACTTTTGCTAGAGCAAAAATAAGAGTTGTTTCTCATAGATAATGCCTCAAAAATCACGATGAGCGCATCGGCAAAGTCTGAAATGCACTCATAACTTCACAGTCTGCGTGAGAAATTTGCGGTTTTTTGAGCTTCCCGCTTCAAAAACGATACTACGGCACAGGTGAACATTTTGTAAGAGGAGTCGTTCCATCGTCGGCAATAATCATCATGGCCGACGCCAATCCGCCGAAACACGTTTGATGGGACGAGATAACACCTGAGCTGGATTAGACCAGACAACAATCGGTGTGTTAACGTTCATATTTTCCACGCCCGAATTGATTGACCTTGAACTCTCCTCGAATTACGCGCGGAACTGCGCTCAAGCGTCGGCCATGATGAATATCGCTGACGACGGAGCGACTCCTCTAACAAAATGTTCACCTATGCCGTAGTATCGTTTTTGAAGCGGGAAGCTTAAAAAAACGCAAATTTCTTACGCAGATTGTGAAGTTATGAGTGCATATCAGACTTTGACGATGCGCTCATCGTGATTTTTGAGGCATTATCTACAAGAGACAACTCTTATTTTTGCTCTAGCAAAAGTTTGCAACAGGCCCATTTCGAGCCCACTGTTCAGGCCTCGATCTACGAAAATTTTCACATAATCTATGTAGATTATCGTTACAGTAATAACGATTTACAAAACTTAATGCTGTATCTTTGCTCTACAAGTGACAGCATGGTTACAATCCCAAAGTACGGGAACTTACTCGTCTTCAGTCCATTACTAAATGGTTACTAAATTACTAAATAAGGTGATCTGAATCTGTAAATGTAATGTTCTTTAGGATGTTATCACCTTTCAGGGAAAATCCATGAAAACCGAATTCGGACTTACGATGAGCTAGTTCTGACTTAAATCCGGGTTCTAGTCTAGGAGATCATGTATACTATCAATTTTTAAAAGCCTAAAAATTCAGGAAAATTCCTGGAAATTAAAACGAATTACATCTAATCCATTCACTTTATCGCTTGTCAAAAGTCAGTATAAATTTCCTGTGCAAACTATCTTGGTGAATCTGGAGGTTTAATAAAACCAAAATTCCGATTAATCGAACCAATGTGGGGGTTGGGTAGTTCGTTTATCGAAAAGTTTGGAAAATGAGGTCACTGCAAAACGCTTAATTTGACATTCTCATTAAGTTGTAAAATTTGATGAGGTAACAAAGTAAATCAAACAGAGGGAAGTACAAGTACACAAAAAAGCTTTCCCTTCGTGTCCATCCTCCCCTCCTTCATTTTTTATTCACTCCACTGAAAATTTTATTCGAAATATATTTTGAACAATTCCTTCATGTCCTGGTTGGTCGGTCAGACAAATAATTATAAGCCTATGTTCTTTTAAAATTTCAGAATCAAGGTAAACTTGGCCATGAAATTCAAAGTTCAACATTAGAGTTAATCAACGGTTTAGTGAGCCTAGTTCACCAGCCATCAATGCCAGATGTGGCGCAAGAAGCAATGGAGGCCCTTCTCATTCTGCATCAGCCAGACAAGATTGAAGTCTGGAACCCAGAAGCACCGATCAATACTTTTTGGGACGTCAGGTTGGTTAAAGTTCGAATAGTGTCAAGCAAAGTATGTTGTCATGTATTAGAAGCTCATCAGAAAAAGTAAGAATTGACAAATTTCATTGAATTGAACTATAAAAAAGAAGCAAATTAACAAGCTGTTAGCTGTCTCCGCTTGCGACGCTCGCTTTTGCTGCTAGCCGGGGCCCTCTGGACCCCCAGTCACTCGCTACATGAATGTCTTATCGTATTTAATTTCAGGTATTAAATCGGTAATTTAGTAGTTGCCTCTGTCTATGCTCCTCCTAAACATAATAATAAAGAAATAGACTATGCAAACTTTATTAGTAAATTTGGACCCAGATGTGTGGTTGCCGGCGACTGGAATTCGAAGCATACCTTCTGGGGGTTTAGAATTATCACTACAAAAGGTAGAAATTTGTTTGCCGCTGCGAAATCACTGCATGGCGACTTTATCTCTCAAGGTAAACCTACTCATTATCCATCAGACCCTAATAAGATCCCTGATGTCATCGATTTTGGTTTTATAAAGGGCATTAGCAGACATAATGTTCATGTACAATTATTAGAAGAACACTTGTCCTCAGATCATGTACCAGTGCAATATCAAATCTCATTTTGCCCTATCCCTATATGTCCCCCAGAGAGGCTTCATAATAAAGCTACGGATTGGGATCTGTTTAAAGAATACGCGCACGATAGGTTACAGCTCTATAGTGTATCAAGAATCATAACACCACAGGATCTTGAGAAGGACTTGGAGCTATTTGTTAGGGTTTTGCAAGACGCAGCAAGGGAAGCCACTCCGCCTCCCAAAAAATTTTTTGCAGCTAATACTCCAAAATCCCCTAAGCTCGAATATCTTTTAAATCTTAAAAAACACGCTAGACGTGTCTGGCTTCATAACAGAACAGCAGCTAATAAGTCTATTTTTAACCACTACACGAGAGCTGTTTCAACTGAAACTACCAGAATTGCTGATGATAATCTAGCAACTTACATTAAAACCCTAGACGCTACACCTGCGTCAGAATATTCACTCTGGAAAGCGACTCGTTATCTCAAGCGCCCCTCTCAGTATAACTCTCCTCTTAAGACTAGAGAAAATGGCTGGGCTCGCTCAGATAAAGAAAAGGCAGACCTCTTTGCATTGCATTTGGCAGAGGTATTTAAACCCCATTCTCAACCTCATGCAACTAGAAATAATGTCCATTACGATCTTGACGAACAGAGGTTAATAGATGAGAACGTACAAATTCCAGAGTGCTCATTCGGTGAAGTACAGAAAATGATAATGAGAGGCAAAAATAAGAAAGCCCCAGGGGAAGATCTCATCACAGGGCTCCTTCTAAAAAAATTGCCGGACAAAGCAATCCATAAATTAGTAGAGATATTTAATGCAATTATCAGATTAGAACACATACCACAACAATTTAAGGAATCAATGGGCCTGTTGCAAACTTTTGCTAGAGCAAAAATAAGATTTGTTTCTCATAGATAATGCCTCAAAAATCACGATGAGCGCATCGGCAAAGTCTGAAATGCACTCATAACTTCACAATCTGCGTAAGAAATTTGCGTTTTTTTAAGCTTCCCGCTTCAAAAACGATACTACGGCACAAGTGAACATTTTGTTAGAGGAGTCGCTCCATCGTCGGCGATATTCATCATGGCCGACGCTTGCGCGCAGTTCCGCGCGTAATTCGAGGAGAGTTCAAGGTCAATCAATTCGGGCGTGGAAAACATGAACGTTAAAACACGCCGATTGTTATCTGCTCTAATCCAGTTCAGGTATTATCTCGTCCCATCACACGTGTTTTGGCGGATTGGCGTCGGCCATGATGAGTATTGCCGACGATGGAACGACTCCTTTTACAAAATGTTCACCTGTGCCGTAGTATCGCTTTTGAAGCGGGAAGCTCAAAAAACCGCAAATTTCTTACGCAGACTGTGAAGTTATGAGTGCATTTCAGACTTTGCCGATGCGCTCATCGTGATTTTTGAGGCATTATCTAGAAGAAACAACTCTTATTTTTGCTCTAGCAAAAGTTTGCAACAGGCCCATTGTAATTCTTTTTCATAAAAAAGGTAAACCTTTTGCTCAACCATCATCTTACAGACCCATATCATTGTTAGCAGTTATTGGAAAACTATTTGAAAGACTCTACATTGGCCGACTATTAAAAGTTGTTAATGCAAAAAAGATCCTACCCCCCCAACAATTTGGTTTTAGAAAAGGACATGCAACAATCGAACAGCTAAATAGATTAACGAATTTTATAGAAAAGGCGCTAGAAAAAGGCGAATATAGTGCGGCAATTTTTTTAGACGTTGCCCAAGCGTTTGACAAGGTTTCACATCAACTTTTAATCTCCATGCTCGGCAAAATTTTACCTGCCTGCCATGCCAGACTAATTAAATCATATTTGCAAAATCGTACGTTCAAAGTTCGGGTAGGTGAAGCGTTGTCAGATAGCTTCCCAATATTAGCGGGAGTTCCACAGGGCTCGGTACTGGGTCCCTTGCTGTATCTTCTGTTTACCTCAGATATACCCCCCGGAGTACGGGACTCTATGTTAGCCAAATACGCGGACGATACAGCATACGCGGCGTCCAACTTATCTCAAGAAGTAGCACTTGACATTCTTCAAGAAAATTTAACCAGAATATACGACTGGTGCCAAGAGAAGGACATACTTATGAACCCCACTAAATTCGTTTTAATGATCTTTTCAAATCGTGTAATCAATACCAATTTATTTTTACAATACGGAGATGTTACCATTCCCATATCCAACTTTGCTAAATATCTGGGCCTCAATCTTGATTGTAAACTTAAGTGGAAACACCACATAAAATTAAAACGGCAGGAATGCAACTGGAAATTTAGTCGCTTACATTGGTTGGTAAACAGTCGTTCACCATTATCCCTTGGCAATAAGTTGCTTATTTATAAGCAGCTTATTAGACCTGTCTGGGCATATGGATGCCAGATATGGGGAACGGCTGCACCCACGAACATCAAGATGATCTAAACACTCCAAAATAAAATACTCCGCAAAATATGTGGGGCACACAGATATCAGCGAAACAAAGACATCCATAGAGATCTCGGTATTGAGTCTGTGGGAGATTTCATCACTAAAATTTCCTCTCGGTATGAGGCTCGTCTACACAGACACACTAATGAAGAAGCAATTGCGTTGCTAGATAATAGTAATGAAATTAGAAGATTAAAAAGACGAAAACCCTGGGAGTTGGCCACTCCTCGATTAGACTTGTATTTTTAATTCTCCTATGTACCTATAAATTTTCTATCTGTAATAATGAGTTTTATACTCATTTATATGTGTTAATGTGATTATTAGGGACAGGGAGGGCTATTTAGTGGTAGTTTGCTACTTTTACTCACCTTAGTTACCTTCTCATTCAAGAAGTAAGAAACTTCTCTGTTGTTTCCTGTATACTGATTTACCTTATCGTAAAGATATTGTTTATAATTCCTTTGGAAGTTTACAAAATAAAAACATTAAAAAAAAAAGAAAAAAAAAAAAAAAGGTATTAAATTTTTTGCATGAAAAACTTTGAGGTGTATATGCTTAGGCATCAAGGGGGAAATTGGGCCGTTTTTGTAATGTTTTCTTTTAAACGATGAATCCAAATAGTATACTACTGTTGTATGTTTTTGGTATTTAATTTTTTTTATTTTTTTAAAGAAGAGTACTTAGTCCATTTTTATTAGATTTTTTGGATATTTACATTTTCTAATCAGTATTTCATAAAGTGGAATATTTGCTCAACAAAAATTATTGAAAGTAATTCCTGACCACGGTATTAGTGCAAGATATCAATGCATAAATTGGAACTTCTCACCAATGAAAAAAACCGTAACACACAGAACATTACTGTGACAGTGTCAGTGGTACAGAAATATTGCAACTTCAGCCGCAGGGCTTTTGCTCAGCTGTTGCACGTTTTTAACACTTTGAACAGCACAAGTCGGGGGAAGAACACTGATTGATGAAGAAGCCTTCCCAAACCATTGTAACGCACGATTCGATTTGCATAGACTTAGGTGCTTGTGAGAGGACAATTCATATTTTTTGTCACCAGCACTATTTAAAAATACTAATACCTAGGTTAAGAGTCTATCGCAGTAATTTTCGTTCTGCAAATTGCTTTTCAACTGAAATTTTCCGTAGAATTTTACGAAATTACAAAGCGTTTAAATTCGTTCTTTGGTTAGTGATCCATTGTTATACACTATTAAATGAAGTTTACCAGTAATATTTATTATGAAGTTATTTCTGATTGTTCTATTTCTTTGCAGCTCCCAGGTTTTATTCTCAATTTCTCAGAAGTTAATCCAGCATCAAATTATTAACTATACAGATATTCTGAAGTGGTTACGTGAAATTTTAGTTTGTCGAAATGAATTTCTAGCCAAACATAAAGATTATGCAAACATGGGGAGCCAAATCGCCATTTGCAAACAAGCACATATCAAACTTGAGGTAAGTAACGCTCTTGTGTTGAAAGTGGTCAAATGCCTTAAATTTTGGGGGAAAATTAAGAAATAATTAGTTTTTTCTCCTAGATGGTGAAACGAAAAAGAATGAGAGGTAGTGACTTTAAGATATTTGTAAGTTTTGCAAATGCAATTAGTATCCAAAAAGTTTGAATTGTCAATAGGCTATCATGGAGTGCAAAAATATCACCGGATATCAAGGAAAATATGAAAGTTCTGTAGAACAAAAAAATTTTCTCCGAAGACAGCTATGTCTGTATTGTAAATAGATGAAAATGACTCATTAGACAGTAAGTTAAGTGCCACAATACTTGTCTAATTATTGAAATAATTTTACGTACAAAATGATGGCCGCATTAAATCTTTCCAAATTCAATTTATAAATGATAAAATAGCATATTTAGTGCGTTAATTTACACTTTTTGCTCACAAAAAACCAAAGTCTACTTGAGTCTATTTGAGCACAAAATTAATTTCAATAAACTTTTGGGTAGAAGAATTTTCCTGTGTAGTGATTTTTATTAAAACAACTGAAGGTGCTTTGTATCAGAAGAGGAAAGAAATAAGTGTAAAACTAGGCTCCAATTATTTCCAGGAAAAAATGCACCAAAATGTGTGAGTGCAATGGAAACCCAGACTTTTGCGACAACGCCGTTGATAAAGACCTGATAGATGATACTATATTATCATCCAGTGATGATGATGACGCGTGATCACAACATTTTCCAATCATTAATGCCAAATTGTAGTTTTTAGGATGATGTCAATTGACTTCTTTGCTGTATTTTTACTTGTTCAATTACTACATCTGTTCTTTCTTCTCTATTTAGAGCGTACTTTTTCCTGGTGTAATGGTCACCTTCTCGTTTAATCCTATCCTCTAAGTTGCAGTTTATTATTATACAATTAACTCTAAAAGTACTTTTTAATTATTTGTCCAGATTTATACGGACTGCACTAGAGACCTTTCTATTTTTCATTTTGTAAATCTTTAAAGGAAGTCTAGATCATGCAAATGGAGTGGACCTACTTTAATTCTAGTTAATTACTATTTCTGATGTTCCACTGCTGTTAAAGTAATTGATGGTTTGTTTATATATTTGTATTCTTTTCTAATCCAAAGCCTTGCTGTTTGATCTCCTATTTTGTCTTTATTCTTACTTGAAATGGGCCTGTTGCAAACTTTTGCTAGAGCAAAAATAAGAGTTGTTTCCTGTAGATAATGCCTCAAAAACCACGATGAGCGCATTGGCAAAGTCTGAAATGCACTCATAACTTCGCAATTTGCGTAAGAAATTTGCAGTTTTTTGAGCTTCCCGCTTCAAAAACGATACTACGGCACAGGTGAACATTTTGTTAGAGGAGTCGCTCCATCGTCGGCAATATTCATCATGGCCGACGCTTGCGCAGTTCCGCGCGTAATTCGAGGAGAGTTCAAGATCAATCAAGGCGGGCGAGGAAAATATGAACGTAAACACGCCGATTGTTGTCTTAGTGTTTCAATTTGTTTGTCTAGTCCTGTTTAGGTGTTATCTCGTCCCATCACACGTGTTTTGGTGGATTGGCGTCGGCCATGATGAGTATTGCCGACGATGGAACGACTCCTCCATCAAAATGTTTACCTGTGCCGTAGTATCGTTTTTGAAGCGGGAAGCTCAAAAAACCGCAAATTTCTTACGCAGATTGTGAAGTTATGAGTGCATTTCAGACTTTGCCAATGCGCTCATCGTGGTTTTTGAGGCATTATCTACAGGAAACAACTCTTATTTTTGCTCTAGCAAAAGTTTGCAACAGGCCCATTGAAGATCTCGAAAAACAAGTAGAGTTTGTTATTATAATTTTTGTTTGGTGCCTGTAAAATTAAAAAAGATATGTTCTAACAAGCCACCAAGGACAGCGTGACCAAAATGGCGGCCGAATTTGGCATTCAAACGGGACAAAGAAGGTTTAATGTATCCAAAATATACTCTTTCCCGTTTATTGTTTGAACAGGGTGTCTAGCATCAAGATTTTCCTGATTTTCCTGATTCTATCAGGATTTGAGGTCAATCAGGACTAAAACCCGATTTCATCAGGATTAAATCCTGATTTCATCAGGATATGAGGAAAAATCGGTCGTAAAATCAGGATTTGAGAAAAGACGGCTGTCTGATCGATTTTTTTTTATGCTTTTGCATACGCTTATGCAAAAATTTCAATTTTTCTCCGCAAAAAATCAGAATTTGGAAAAATTATAAACTCAGGATTTAGCAGTCAAAAATTAGGAAAAATCAGGATTGTCAAATTTGGCCCTTACATGGACCAAATCAGGACTATATGGCATGAAATGTTTTTTTTTTTTTTTTTTTTTTTTTTTAGAATCTGCGACCTAGAAAACATGTGTGTAGAGTGTGTCCACCAAAGATTTTCTCATTCTAGGGACCATAATGAAGAGATTAAGCCTAGGTGGCAACTTGTAGCACTAACCTACAAAGGCCTTGTTATTCCTTTAAGGAATTCTTTAGTAACCCAGTTTTGGTTTGTAATCCGAATAGATATATGTATGATCTATATGTATATAAACCATAGGTAGTTTTTTTCTCTTGACAATGTATCATAGCCACATGGCTTTATATACAAATAAATATAATTATCTTATCTTATCTTATTGTGCAGACGGGACGTAATTTTCGAACACATGCCCCCTGACTATATGGTTAAGGTTCACCTACGAGTTTGAAATCCCTGTCTGCAGTTTACATACAGCATTACTATTTCGATTTTCTCTGTTTTTCAGGTTGTCTTCTTCATGTATTTGTGGAGTATAGACATTGAAGCTGTACTGGTAGCCATGTCCTGCTTCAGTCTCCTCTGTGAAGAGGCTGAAATACGTGGTGGTTCAGATGATGTAACTGTTCTTCTTCTTTTGCCAAACGTTCACGTTTATCAAGAATTAGCCTTAGCCTCTACTGTTGTCACCACAGGTAAGTCTCAGCTGCACTATTCTCCAACTCAGGAAATAAACGAAAACATCCTCTTTTTCCCTTCTGACAGTTCCTAAAAATTTTTTTTCAAGTTTTTAGCTCTATTGTAGTCTACGTTGACAAGAGTTTTTTTATTTCTTATTTTTGAGTCCCTAATTTTGCATCCTGTTTAAGAACCTGTGTCCTGCTCCTTAACTCCTGTAGTTAGAACTTGAATTAGTGCAGGTGCTTTAAGGGCATCAAATTTTGCTAATTTATTGATAGATATGTAGTAAGTAAGAATGTGAAACAAGTATTCCTACTTGTTTCAGCAGTAATCTTAATAGTCTTTGAATATTCTTCTTCTCCATTGTGCCAAAAATTCCTACTATTAGATTTAAGAATTGAATGAAATAAAGTCAATTGTTTTTGCTCACTAGCCAGCGAGGATTCTTGTGTTTGCTTTAGAAACCAAAATCATGGTGAGGATTTTATATTCATAGATATAATTGAGCTGGGTAAAAAATATTTTTCCCCCGATTTTTGTGCGTTCGTTTTTTCTTTTTTTCGTTTTTTCTCTTTTTTTGTTTTTTCTTTCCTTCTTTCTATCGTTTTTCTTTTCTTCTTCTTCATTTTAAAAAGAAAGAAAGAAGTATTGCAATTCATTGCTCTTGCAGACCCACCTTCATTAATTTCTGTTATATTATTTGTTTTACTCTTTTTGTCTAAGCACTGAGCAGGATCACCGAAAGGTATAGTTTTTAACAAGATATCCCATGGTTCGATTGTAATTATCATTTGATAAGTGGTTTTTTATTCATGGTGTCTAATGACCGTGAAAACTGCACTTTAAACCAGGAATTATACAGGGTGGCCCAGACCTACCGTACCAGGCCTTTTTTTCGGTTAATTTGGGTCGTACAAAGTCCAGGATTGCAGGGATGAATGGGGAATCGACCCCACGGAATCCGAATTTCATGGCCCCCTAGCCCCCCTGGCGCCCCTTAGGGGGTAAAAGGGGGTCCGTACTAGGGCGAGTCAAAAAACATCGACTTTCGAATTTCAAAATTGTATAGGGGGAAAAGTTGTGCCCAGGCATCAAACTAAAGTGTGCCAAAGTGTTCCTCGAAAAATAAATTTTTGGGGTGCCGCTTTTGCAATTTGTGTCTAAAAAGTACGTCATTCAAGCTGTTTTCGCCGATTCCATTGCACTGTAAGCAAGATAACGATTGGCTAGAGTCCTGATTTTTGAAGTAATAACTCACCTCTAGTAGTCATTTAAGGTATACTAATTAGTTTTTAGATCAACATATTTTTGGTGCCTCTCACATGCCCTTAAAAATGCAAAAAACGCGATTGCGGCCGAATGCGCCTCGTACATTTCAACGATTTTATCGATTGTTTTAGGTGACTTGGCAACCACGCAAAAAGTCAATTTTCGGTTATTAGGAGCTATTATATAGATGATTAGGGAAAAATATTAGTTTTTTTAATGCGGGCGGTTTTTCCCCCATTTGGGAGCTCACAGTTAGGCCGAATTGCTCGACTTAGCCGAGATCCCATCGATTTTAGCTATTTTTTTGCACGACTTGGCAAGCATGTAAAACATTGGGCTTTCAATTTTCGTAGACTCTATTTATAGTAGAATAGGAGGATATAATAATAATTTTGCTGCGGAATGTTTTTGTACCTCCGCGGAGACCTTACCAAGCCAGAAAAACACGATTTTTAGCGACATTTCAGCGATTTTTGACGATGTTTTTCAGGGACTTAGCAACCACGCCAAAATTTACACATTGAAAAGAAAATAAGTAATAGCGTGAAACAATAAACACATTAATACACATTGAAAAGGAAATAACTAACAGCATGAAACGTTCTGATTGGAAATGAGAAAGAAAAATTGGAGGTTATTGACTTGATGAGGAAAAATTTGAAATAGGAAAAAGATGGAGCCAATCACGATTTGGGGGTAAAATTGGAAAAGAAAAAACGCAGGAAGATAATATGACAAAGCGTAAAAAAAAACGCGGGAAAAGAAAAATGTAAGTTGATGGCAGTTGAGTGTTAGAAGTAACCTCATTTAATGATGATTATTGAATGAAAACAGCTGATAAAAAGACAGCAAATAGCATAGTAAGATGTGTAGCAACAAAACTTTTCCGAAAAACAAAAAAGAAAAAACCTTTATTTCCCCTCATCCAATTTATGAGTTTTTAGGGATTTAAAAATCGGGGACGAACCGCAGAAAATAATTTATAATTTTTCCGAAGCATTGAGTACAACACCTTTCAAATGAACCAACGCCCCTCGCAATTAGTACAGAGGTTAATTCACAATTTCATTCTATTTTTCAATTCATATATTAGGGCTAGGGGCTTATGGGGCTGTTTCGCAGCCCCTTATTTTTCATGTACACCTTTCCCTTTCACAATTCTTTCGTTCTTTTTTTTTTTTATTTATTTTCATTTAATTTTCTGGTTTGTCTTTGAATTGGTCCTAATTTTTTCTTTGAAGTAATAAATATAACAAATTTTTTCAAAAATTGTAAGTTTATTTTGTAAACTTTAAATTAAAATTTTTTTAAACCTTCATACAAACTTCTTTTTAAGCCTTTACTTTTGTTTTTAAACTAAGTTTTAAGTATCAGTTTTTTTATCTTCTAAATACTTTACTCTGTTTTCCTTTTAATTGTTGCTTCTTCTTTTTCAATTTCTGCCCTGCTTTTTTCCAATTTTTCCTTCAACTCTTCTCTTTTTCGTTCCTCCTTTTTTCTTTTCCTCTTTTTCTTCTTCATTTTCTGCTCCCTCTTTATCTTCATCCAATTCTTCCACTTCTTCTTCTTCTTCTTCTTCTTCTTCTTGTTCCTGTTCCTTCTTCTTTCCGTTTTCCGTATTTTCTGTTTCAGAAGTTTTTTCTTTTTCCAGTTTCTTCATCTTACTGTTCCACATGAATGTTATGAGAAAGAAAAATTGGAGGTTATTGACTTGATGAGGAAAAATTTGAATTAGGAAAAAGATGGAGCCAATTACGATTTGGGGGTAAAATTGGAAAAGAAAAAACGCGGGAAGATAATATGACAAAGCGTAAAAAAAAACGCGGGAAAAGAAAAATGTAAGTTGATGGCAGTTGAGTGTTGGAGGTAACCTCATTTAATGATGATTGTTGAATGAAAACAGCTGATAAAAAGACAGCAAACAGTAGTAAGATGCGTAGCAACAAAACTTTTCCGAAAAACAAAAAAGAAAAAAAAACCCAATTCCCCTCATCCAATTTATGAGTTTTTAGGGTTTTAAAAATCGGGGACAAACCGCAGAAAATAATTCATAATTTTTCCGAAGCATTGAGTACAACACCTTTCAAATGAACCAACGCCCCTCGCAAGTAGTACAGAGGTTAATTCACAATTTCATTCTATTTTTCAAATTATATATTAGGATGTTGCATTTCTGCTGACATTGTATGTTCATAGCAAGCCGTCAAGCTGCAGATTAGTGTTTATTGCCCTGTTCTAGTGATCAACATCACGTGCATTGTAGGTGTAAGCATTGAGCTGAACAATATTTTAACTATGATTTTAAAATCTTTAGACTCCTTATCAAAGATCATCATTTTTGTATTTATTTTCTTAGTAAAGGTGCCCTTAATATGTAAGAAAACAGGTTCATTGTCCACATTTTACAAGGTATGCTACAAGGTGTTTCGACCGATCCAAAAGCCATGTATCGTTTGAAAAAAGAACATAACAAAACTGGGAAAAATTAAAAAGTAATAAATCTGTAACCTTCTTAATAAGCAATCATGTTATACAGGGTGATCCAAAAGTCCCTTCCACCCCCTCTAACTTTTTACCTAATTGAGGTAAAGAGTTGAAACTTGGAGGATATTCCTAGGTCAAAGGGAGCTACTTTTTCGCCCCCCTAAAATTTTCAGGGGGGTCCCCTAGGGTGCGTCAAAAAAAATGAAAGTCTGAAATGTTTCGCTCCCCAGGCGGCAATCGATGACGTTTGGTAAAAAAACATGTTTGCCAAAATTTGGGCCAATTTCAATCATTTTAAATGGTGCCAAAGGTCAATTTTGTGATGAAATTATGATATTTTGGTTTAGACTTCGATTTCGTACAAAAAACTCGATTTTACGCTGAAATCATGCGTTTACGAGAAAAATGTCAAAGAACTCGACTTGTAGAGGATAAAATTTTACACTAGGAGGACGTCTTTTTAACCGATAAAAATCAAATTGAACTAGAAAAACTAAACTCGGTATTTATTTTTTTGGTCCTCAGAATTTCCGAGGTCTTACTAAGTAGAGGTTTAAAAGACTCATTTTTCACGAAAATAAGTCGAAAGAGGGTATAAATGAACTGTAGGCAAGTGTTGAGGATGCAAATGTCATCAGAACTTCCTCAGTTTCAAAAGAAGTTCCAACTATTTTGCACAATCCTCCAAAAAGTGTACGACTCGAGAAGCAGGATCGTGCTATAATAGTAGGGGGAAAGTGCGGTATGACCGGGAAAAATTGCGTAACAAACTTTCCCTATGTAATCGTCATCAGTAGGTCCCCCTGAACAACTTCCTAAAAGTTAAAAATGGCCCGACCCCGGAATATCCCTCAAAAAAGTTAAAATTGAAAATGGCGGCCGTAATAAGAGGGTCCGGGAAATCGGTATTTTAAAATGCTCATTCTGTCTCATCATGTGAGGTATCATTTCCTATGTAATTTTGGTCGTAGATTTCATAAATAAATTCCCTCAAGGCCTCTTCTGAGCTTACGTTTCTCTTGGTAGTCGTATGTTTCCTTTAATTTCCTTTATTAAATACATTTATAACATCAAATTTAAGTTTCTTGGCCATAAATACATGAAAATAAAGACACTTCACTTTCCTTGTTCCTTCGGTGAATATTTAAAAAAATGCAACCTCCTGCCTTTCACATTTGGCCGCCATCTTTGATTTGGAGCGCCCCCTTTGGCCGGAGGGCCTTGCGAAATTTATTTATGAAATCTACGACCAAAATTACATAGGAAATGATACCTCACATGATGAGACAGAATGAGCATTTTAAAATACCGATTTCCCGGACCCTCTTATTACGGCCGCCATTTTCAATTTTAACTTTTTTGAGGGATATTCCGGGGTCGGGCCATTTTTAACTTTTAGGAAGTTGTTCAGGGGGACCTACTGATGACGATTACATAGGGAAAGTTTGTTACGCAATTTTTCCCGGTCAAACCGCACTTTCCCCCTACTATTATAGCACGATCCTGCTTCTCGAGTCGTACACTTTTTGGAGGATTGTGCAAAATAGTTGGAACTTTTTTTGAAACTGAGGAAGTTCTGATGACATTTGCATCCTCAACACTTGCCTACAGTTCATTTATACCCTCTTTCGACTTATTTTCGTGAAAAATGAGTCTTTTAAACCTCTACTTAGTAAGACCTCGGAAATTCTGAGGACCAAAAAAATAAATACCGAGTTTAGT